CGTCCCTCGCACGCCCTGGCGGTGAATGCGACCTGTCAGGCAATCCCCGAGCCCTCCTGCTTCTGCTGTCAGCCCTCTCCCTATCGGGATTAATTGGATGCCTGTCTGCACGAGAAGGATCGACCCTATTGGGCACATCCGGCAAAGCATGATCAACCAAATCAACACCTCCGCCCGGTCTCACCGGAAGGCCAGTACCCCGACCATTACCTTCTCCGGGAGTGGGCGTCGGAGACCTGATCCTGTGTCCCTGCCCCGCGAAGGCGTCGTATCCGACATTCCGTCTCTCTCTAGGCTGTGGGGGATTTGCCTGATTATCCTGGACACCCTGAATAATGCCAGCAGCCTCATCAACATGACCTTCGATTTCATAGAGCTGAGCCATGATCCTGTTGTTCATCCCATTAAGAGTACGCACGTTACTCTCAACAGTGCTGATCCTCCGCATAGCGCCCTCAAGCGTACTCCGGAATGAGTCAATTTCACGCCTAACGGCAGACCGTGCTTGATCACTATTCGCCGGAAGATTGCGGATCTGTCGTCTGATGTCATCAAGAACCTGATTCAGAATTCCCGAACTCGCTTCGTACTGCTCAACACGGGATTTCAAGGTTTCAAACCTCGCAAGGACATCGTCATGGTCCCCATGGTGGCGCTGAACTCCGCGAGATAGATCCTGGACCTTTCGATTGACTTCGTCAATTGCTTCATGCCAGTCCTGCGGGGATACGGGTCCTGATGATCTATCGATCGCCTGTGAACCCCTTCCACTTTGCAGCCTTGACATCCGATTAGCAAGAAGAGTGTGCTCTTCATGAATGCCACCAATAGATTCGGAGGCCCACGTAGCAAATTTCTCGTGTTCAAGGAGAGCCTTCTCGATCTTCAGGTTTAACTCCCTGAAATTCGCGTTCACCACACTGCTACTGGCCCTATCGGACGGTTGCGCGACAGGATTCAAATTCCATTCACCTGCTGGCGTCCGCATTCCGACGGTTTTCTCTACCGAGAACATCCGTTTCTCGAGCTTTTCCAAGTCCTTAAGGATCTCATCCTCGGAAGCAGCATGGCTCCTGTGGACGGCCTCCCGATTCTCTTGAATCATCTGGCGGAGCCGATCAGTCGCGGCCTCATTGTCCTTAACAGTGAACCTCGTGGGAAATCAGATTGATCCTCTGCTCCACGACTTCAGCCTGTTCATCGATGGCTTGCCTCACAATGGCTTTGCTGTCAGGAATAACTTCCCGTGCAAACCGTTGAACTATCATTCGCATCCTACCGGCATCAGATTGAGTCGCAATCTCAGCTGCCAAGCGATCGACCTTGTCCTTCGCTCTGTCGACTCTCGTCGCTCCATTCCCTTCGCATGGAACTCACCTGACCGTTCAGTAACCTGATTTGGTCAGCAAAAGTATGGAACGCCTTCGCGACTGAGCCAGAAACCTCACCCCTCTCGAGCATCTCCTGGATGTGCAAATCAAACACCTCCTTTGCCCTGACGTCACCTGATTCGCCGGAAGACTGAGATCTGAGGGCAGGAGGAGTCGATATCTCGATCCTCTCAGGAGCCCCACTAGCCCCGGCATGTCTTCTGGGGTCGCCTACAGGATAATCATCAATCCTGGGTGTCCTACTCGGGGTAGATCCCCTTCTCCGGCTATCGCCAGATCGGGGATCAATGTTGGATGCACGAGACTCGGGGGTGGAGTGAATGTGAACATCAGCAGGATCAGGCATCTCCTCATCCTGCAAAGTCAAACCCATTGGTGAGGGGCTAGCCCTCCTCGCCTTCGACCTATCGGTCTCAATGGCGAGAGGTGACGGCCTCTTTGCAGAAACACTACGTTCCCTGGCGGTCGAGCCCCATTGAGGTGTGAACTCGTTGCTAGACCTCAGAGTTTCAAGGTCACTGGTATCTCGCCCTAACGGGCTAGCGATCGACGGACGATCTTCGATCCCGAGTGCATCGGCAAGCCGACCATCTCTGGTACCTGTCCTAACGACATCGGCAGCCCGCTCAATGATCCTCGGCGAACCAGTAACCCGGTTCGAGTTCACGTCTCTCTGATTCAACGGACCTCCAAAGGTAATGTTGGGAAAAGGGGGAACATTCGGGGTATCACCAATCGCCGGGGACCTATCGGTCCCCCACGGTCATGGATAGCCTCCAATCCCCGAAGAACTTCCCGACTATCCCTGGCTCTCTCTCTCTCTCGCTTCGGGTGTCCCTGTCAACACGAAGGTCCCTGGCGGCTCCACGAGAGAGGCTCCTGGGCCTCACAGCATCACGGATCCTAGCATTTCGGCGTGATTGGTCCTCCTCCTCATCCGCAAAATTGTAATCTTCGCCATCATAAGACTCAGATTTGGCAGTATTGGGGTTGGGCCTACCGGCATCAGATCCCTGCTTTGGGCTACTGCCCCAACCTGCGGTTGATTTCAACAGAGCATCGTATCCGAAGTCTGTGAATTTCCGCTCCTCGTGCTCATCAAACTGACCTGGATTTTGAGCACCAGTGGATCGACCCGAGATATCTCTCGGAGCCAAAACCATAGTCCCTGGTCCTTGCGGCCTGTCCTCAAACTCATCCGAGACCTGCGATTCACCTGGAACAAGAGATCTCGGGGGTCGGGTCGGCATAGCCTCCGGGTCGTCCGAATGGGGGCGGGCCATGTTCATCGCCATGCTGATGAAGTCGAACTGTCCGCGCCTGTGACCTGATTCAGAGCCGCTCCTATCGGAGCGAACCCTTCGTGTCTGCTCATCATCGGTGGCCTGACGGAAAATGCGGTCGTCTCCATCATCGGTGTACCTGCCACGGCTCCTGGGTGTGTCCCTACCGGGATCTTCACCCCTGCGGTCCTGACCTGTCGAACCTGCTTCGAAGTCCTCGTAGTCGTAGTCCGGTAGGTCCTCACCTGAGCGGAGGCCCCCTAGGATGGCCTCCTCATCCACGACGCTCCTTCGAGATCGTGGGGTCGACATAGAGCTTGTAGTTGATGGTCTCAAGCGCGTAGGAAAGTCCTACGGCTGATAACCTGTGATTCGGGCACGAACCTGTGCCCAGGCAATGGGTTAGTTGGGGTAAACAAGCCACAAAAGAAAGGTTCCCCAAAAGCAAACCAATCCCCGGTCCCAAAGATCAGGGTTTCCCACACACCAGAGAACAACAACCAAAGGAAAACAAACCAAACAAGAAAAGGGTTAACCCGCAACCTTGGTCGACAACAGGCCGCACGACTGGTCCCTACCAACCTGGCGGCGGCCCGAGGTCTCTTTCTCCCCCGAGATGCCGTCGGTCGACGCAGGGGTTCGGCGACGCCCATTCGAGGCGCGACGGAACCCAAAACTTGAGCCAAAACACCACAGGTCGGTCACTAACGCGACGTCCCTGATGATGATATCAACCATGGCTAATCACACAACCAACGGTTCGGCGCAGATCAAACTTTGTGAACATGATGGCTGAACCCTCAGGCTGTTGTCGCTTGAACCAGGTAGAGACCAAAACAAAGCCGGAGCGGAGCGCTAAGGCGGAGAGCCGCCAGGTCAAATCCCCAGCGGAGCCGGAGCTGAGCCGCGAAGGCGGAGCGGAGGCGCAGCGGAGGCTGAGAGAAGGCGGAGCGAAGAATACAAAAAAGTTGAGCAACAAATGCGCAGCGGAGCAAAAGCCAGAATTTGGATTTAGCGGCGATAGCCGAGAGCGGAGCCAGACCCAAGGCGCAGCGCAGGCGCAGCGCAGGCGCAGGCGAAGGCGGAGCGGAGGCTCAGGGGCGAGCCCGTGGCGAGCGCGGTGGCCCGATGTTTGGGCTTATTCGTAATGTGTGTCCGTGTGTGCCGGCGAAGCTATTCACACGGAGAGTGCCTAGCTACACACACACACACAGCAATAACCCCCCCAACAACCATACTCGACCCCCTCTATCGGGCGGGTGTGGCGAAGGAACAAGGTTAAATTGCAGTATGGCAAGGCAACAAACAAGTCACACAAGGTTGAAATAGAGGCGCCCAAGGTCAAAAACAAGTGGAGGCCAAGGTTGGAAAAAAGCCTTCCAAGGTCAATTGGAAGTATCCCCAAGGTCCAAGGCTAAAAACGCGACGTGCAAGGTTAAAAAACAAGTATCAAGGTCAAAAAAAGTTGTACAAGGTTATATTTATATATAGAAAAAGAGGAGTGCCCCTGAGCAAAGACGGGTCGGAAGTTTCTAAGGCATAAGGCACGCACTTTCACGGTTCGACCTTCAAAAACTCGCTGTTGGTTTCACGTGTTACTTGATGGTGAACCCCCTTGCGCACTTTCCCGGGGGGGGGGGGGGGGGGATGGACCTTCAACAACTTGGCCTGTTTTGCTCCTTGCACTTCGCTTGCGGAACCCTCCGCGGTCTTCCGGGCAGTTGACCTTCAACAACCTCTGTCCTTTTGTGCTTTCACTTTCGCAGGGTGGAGTGAGAGCGAGAGAAACAAAGCGAAAGAGACATACAGTAAACGTCTTCCCCCCTAAGAAACCCGGGATCCAACTTTTAGCATGACACATGTGTCGCAACTGAGCATCTTTTCTGAGATTAGTATCATCTATTCGTTGGCATTCCTGGCTCTGTTAGGACCCTTTCCCATATTAGTTGGGAGTCAATCTCAAATTTGGATGTGAAACAAAGGGAAACAAAAACCACACTGAGACCAAAAGAGAAAAACAAAAACACAAGGACCCCCGCCAAAAAAAAAACTCCCAAACAATTGTACATGTGTATGTATGTATGCATATATATAATATAATATATATATAATATACCATGCATTGATTTACTGATTTGGATATTATTGCTCTGTCTAACTATTGATTTGTTGATTTGTGTATCTATGTTGTTTAGGTTGTTAAATTATTTCAATATTTTACTGATGCTCGTGTTGCGATATTGTTTTCTGTATTCATTGGCTTATCGCCATAACAACACTGCCGACCCAGTCTCGTCGGGGCCGCCCCATCCAGTTCGCGGGGCGCCTGCTTGGCCCAGGCGGCCATGGTGTAGGGGTCGTTCACCGAGACGCAGGCCACGGAGTCCACGCCCTTGGCCTCGACTTCGGACGACTCGAGGGCGGGCGTACGCGCGAGGCGGAACTGTCTGCCCCCCCTCGCCGGACGCCGACATGGGCGTTGTGGGGAGCTTTGGAAAGAACAAAGCAGAGGACATGGAAAGATGAAACGATGAACAGGATGTTGCAGTGGATGAAATTGTTGGAAGGAACAGAGCAAAAGCTTGGATTTGTGCGGCTTGGAAAGATGAAAAGGGTCCGAGCCCCTAAACCAGCGATCCAAACCACCAATTGAGGGCAGCCTGAGCAAATGCACAGCTGTACACGGAAAAAAGATTAGGGTTTTGAGGTTCAGCCTGTTCAACCAAGAAGTTACGCGTCTTGCACCGAGGCGAGTCTTTGGTAGATAGCACTTTCCTCTTTATGTGCGCGTGTAAAGTGAGCCAAACCCAAACACAAGGTGTTTGCCATTTGCATCCACTCATTACACGAGGGTGAGTTGGTAGATGGCACAGTTCCTGGTTGGGAGGCAAGTCAAGCGAATGAGACTCAATTATGCCATCTACAGCTCACAGTGTGCAGGTCTGGGGTTAAGCTTACTAAAGGATGATTCGAAACGACAACCAAAACAAAACAGGGTGCGTTAAAGGATTCATCCAAAAACCACCTGCTTTACAAGGATTTGGATTCTCTACAACAGCTGATCCCGTAAATGGTGGCCTAAAGGGAAGCGACGGCAGGATGTTCAGAAGTTTCGAGGGGGCCCACTTTTACCGACCACAAAGGGGTTGTTTTACCTGGAGAAACCAGTTTTGCCTTGATGCACAAACCCCTCAAGATGGATGGCCTTCTTTGCTTTACAAACCGAACCCTTCCGAATCTGCTCCTTGCCATCCGATCACCAAAGCACCCGATCCAGCTTCGGAGGTCCATTCAACCCTTCAAACCTCCCTTTCAGCTCAGGTTTTTGTTGGGGAATCATTCCACAGTCTCCACAAGCTAAAGACCGTCCGCAATCCAATCCACTCTCCAAAACAAAATCCATCGATCCGTAACGTTCTGGTCAAAAAAAAACATCAAATCGGCCTCAATCCCAAGAGGATTCACCCCGCAATCCGAGATAGAACGCCACTTCTGCTTCCTCCGTTCCCATCGCGCGACGATGCCGACGGCCGCAATTCGTTGGGCGCCTTGAGCTGCTCCAGGCGCTGCAGGTACGAGGGCACGTGGCCCTGGCTGCAGACCCCGGTGAAGGCCCCGGGCACCGCGAAGAGCACCACCTCGCCGGTCTCTCGGACAAAAAGGCGGGACGGTGAACCACACAACTTGCCCCAGTACCCCCAGTGCACATCCCAATCCAACCACTAAAATAGGTTCTAAAAAGGGTGGTGCACCTACCATTGGTGTTGACCCACAGCCATATGGGTATGGGTCAAAATGAAGCAGCCACAGAACCGCTGGTTTTAGTCCTTGGTTTCATTTGCCGGGTTTCATGTTGGGGTACATATTTGTCACCCACAGCCATATGTGTTGAACACACAAACTGGTGGTTTGTATAAAACAACAAGGGTTGGGTGTTGTGCTTATACCCTTCACTAGAAAAAGAACGATCGAATTTGTGGAATGACAACCCGATGGATGTTCAATCGTTATGTATTTTGTTGCGTAGGGGGAGGGGACTGATTACCCCAATCGTGAGGTCCACTGTAGGTTGAACGGCCAAGTAGCACTTTGCTCTCGTTGCCACGTCCCAAAGATTCGGCCCCTAAAACGAGGTTCCTCTACAAACATGTGGCCAGTCGTGAGGAACCCTTACCTTGAAGGCGGATTGCTACACCACGAGACAACCAATGAAGCTATCAAAGCAGACTTGGCGTTGCGTCCATCAATCAGTTGCCGCACGCTAAAATGGACCTGGATCAGCTTTTGTTCGTGCCCTTTGGGCTCGGACAGCCCTGGTTGCGATTCAACATGCCTTGCAGGTTCTCCGGGAATGTTGGAATGACCCCTCTCGACCATCCTTGGTTTCCTTTCAGGGGATCCCAAAACCCGGAAACGATCCCGAAGAAGAACCAGCAGATCACACTGCAACCCCCGCTGCACAACCTGCATGACATAGGTTAAAAGGGAGATTAGAAAGGACTCACAAGTGTTGTTCATGGCATCTCATAAGGCACAGACTGTGTGTGTACAGATACATATGCAAAAACATGCGTGTATATTGTACATATGCAAGTATACATATTACGTATATAATACATACGCAGGCATACCTCTGCGAATTTACGTATATGTCCTATTTTTGTCACCTGTCCGAACCGAAGCGAAGGGCCTTCTTCCCCGCGAAGATCTCCTGCATGGAGGCGGCCTTGAAGCTATCCGCCACCGCCTGGTCCCAGGTCCGCGCCGGCTGCAGCTTCGCCTGGCCCGAGCTTTCCCGAGGTCTCGGTCCGGTTGGGTCCCCAAAGGGCAAGCACACAGCTATGCGGCTATGCTGTGGTTCAAAGGGAATTGGAAGCATGGCTTCGGTGATATCTCTCTCTCACGGGTGGTCCAATGGTGACAGAACCCTGTAAGATGGAACGCCCTGACCCTAAAACAAGAGTTACCCAAACAGAACACTGTCATTTATGTCAGATTTCGGGGGGGGGGGGGGGGGGAACCTTTCTCAGGGTTGAAAGGGAAACCAACAGAAGAAAAAATAGGTTGTTGGTTTTTTGGGAACTTGGAGGAGTTGCTCCCCGATGGCTCCAAATCACCTAAATAGGAAATCGGCCTCCCTGACCTCTCCTGCAGCCAACCGACAAATGACTTTCTAAACGCGGCAAGGACAAAGGAAGCAACACAAACAGAATCACGCCAAGAAATCCACGGATGAAACAGGGGTGCTTCATTCCCCCAGGAGAGGAAAATGCTTTTTCTTCCGAGTTCCTCAAGGTCTTGTTTGCTCGCATCCTTAACCTCCATCCTTGGTATGTTCTCCACCAGTGTTCTGTTAGATGGCCGTTTGAGTCGTCGGTCGAGGGCACAAAAAAGCTTGGGTTGGGAGCCACATGGGAAACCCGGCCGAGGGTCCCGCCCCACAAGGCAGCCCGCACAAAGATGCACATCCACTTGTCTCGCACCGATTGACGTGGAAGGCTCAACTTCTTTTTGTTGCATTCCACGTAAAGCGGCTTGAGGCTTCAAGCGTTGACATTTCCACTGAAAAAAAGAAACCTCAACGTAGAAGCCGTCCTATTTGGTGCCCTTGCTGGGGAACACCATTAATCTTGAGGGGTCTGTGCGAGTTCCACATCAACAAATGCCCACACGGACTTTTTTGGAGTTCTACATTTGCGCTTCTCGGTCCATGTTTCTTGTTTTGCGCTGCGAAAAGCTAGTTGATTGAAAATGAGTCACGTTCACATTTCAGCAGACAAAGTAAGAACCCGCTTGGCCCCCCGAAGAACAATATCTAGCTATCACAGTCAAGCGCCGAGGAATCCCAAACCGGTTCCCCTATGACTCACCCGGGATGTTCGTGGCGCAGGGCAAGTTCTATGTCAGGAGCTCGGCAGAATCCCCTTAAAAAATGAGAGAAGGTGAACAGTCATTTTCCCGGGGATTTTCATCTGGGCCATTCGTTTTGTAGGGACTTCCAGCTTAATTCCACAAGGGTGTTGAACATGGAACCTGAATAAAGGACTCTGTGTGCCGGAATGCCGGTGATGCTTTCTTCGCCTTTCACCAAGAGTCTTACTGGGCGGGCCCAAGGGCAACTACCCCGGAGCAAGAACTATGGCTGTCAATGCTGTTGTTAACGTGGAAGGTGCAAATTTGGAGTTCTACGTTTATCGAGCGTAGCATGGAGTCTTATGTTTAACTTGGAGGAACGTGAAAGCACAGTTCCAAACCCCTCACTCATCGACCATAACTCCTAACGTGGGATTCCTCCCCGTTTTGGGTGAAAGAAACGGAAAAATCCACCTGTTTGTAGTTCACGTCGATCCGTCGTGAGTTGCCAAAAAAAACACTAAGCCACCCCCTGTTTGCAGCCAACGTGGAAGTTGGACAGAATGCTTTGGAATCCTGCAAAAATGTAGGGTCTCTGCGGGGTCCGTTGCCATGTGAAAACGCAGTTTAAATCCACGTGCTTCCACGTTAGTCGGAAGTGCACATCCGCCTTCCGCCATCCCAAACCCGAAATCGAGTCGCCTCCGACAGCATCGACGAGCCAGTCTGGACTGCGAACCTGTGAAGCGGCGAGGACATGGGACGGGGCTGCAAACCAGTATGGGAACCCTGAAAGGTTCGCTTCACTCCTAAAGAATGCACCCGCAAAAAGGATGCGGCTCTTTGCTGTTATACCGATTGGAGGATCCATGAAGGGTGTCACAGAAGGGTACGCTGCTTGCCGTTGGAAACGCCTGGCTACTTTTTGGCAATCTCACCGGCTGAAGGAAAGACTTGGTCTCCCAAGAAAGGGCCCGCGCAATGCCTGGTATGTTTCGGCCGTTTCAGTTGAGTGTTCTTGGTTCTACATGGCCAGAAAGACTTAGGGAACACTATCAAACCAGGTAGAACCACCCCACATGCAGAGGAATCCAGTTTAGGGCAGAAGAGCCCAACTTTCGTCTTCTGAGGCTTGCTCTGTGTCCAACCTCTTGGGGCCCAAAAGCAAAGGGCACTGAGGAAAATACAGGCGATGCTCGTCGTCCTCCACTTTTGCCCGGTGACACGGCATAGGGTTTCCGCCAATCCCAACAGGTGGAAAACCGCACATGTGTTGCTATGTGTTGGGGCCGTGGGGGTTGGAGGTCGTTTTTGGTCGGCGTCGAGTCCCAATGTCAGGACCTCCCGGTGCGTTGGCTCAACCCCGCTCGCCTGTAACACGCTTGGGCTGAGACTCGAGAATCCGGACAAATCTAGCAGAAAGGACTTGGAGGGATCCTTCTTCGGCATCCCCCCTCAGACCAGCGCGCAGGCACACACACACACTCACCGCGACAGAACTGGACGATTTCGCTCGCAGGTGCATGCGCAGAAACACCCGCACAAGCACAAGCACACGCACAAGCACAAGCACAAGCACACCCGCACACGCACACGCATGCACGCATACGCACACGCCCACCAAGCGCACGAGCACAAGCCACATGCACGCGCGCGCGCGCGCACGCACACATTTGCTGTGCTGAGACCTTGGCAGAAGAGATGGAATGCACAAGTGACAAGCATCTAGTGAACTGAACAAACAAATGCCCCCAAACGGATCGACCATTTTTTGCGAGGCAATCTGTTGGCATGCTTTTGAACACACAGCATTTTGCACAATCCCACAAGAAATTCCATTGCACTTGCATCTTTCGCAAACACCAGCGCGCGGTGTTTTGCCAATGTGTGTGTGAACGCGGCTGCACATTCGCCTGCCGAAACGTAGCCCACGCCTCCGCGCAAATGGGAGGCGAGCCACTGGTAGGCTTCGCAGCATCCTCTCTGAATGCGCCTCTGACTAGGGACGATTTTCTGGACAACAGCTGAGCCAAAGCGGCACACACCAATGAGATATCAACTTCGGGATCCGGAGGATACCCTTGTAATTAGGATCAACACCAGTGTCGGCCCTGGAAGCATGGGCGCAAATATGGCACGCTTCCTTTCCACAAGCATGGGCTGATTGAGTCTTTTCAATATCTGCTATAAGCAGCCCTTTGCCTGCAACAACCCCGTGTGGCATGCCGTGAAGGCTTGTCACCCGGTTGTCACTATCGCTCCCCTTACGAGCAAATCTCAAAGTGCAAAGTTTTGGTCTGAAGGCTAAATTGGCCGTCCTGGTCAGGCAATGTAATGGCCTCAGCAGGGAAGGGGTGTTTGGCCCCGGCTGCACAGGACGGAGCCCAGTTTGCCTCCAAACCCTTGTCGTGTGGCCTGCGAGAATGCTGGTAAAAGGCCCCCGTATTTGGACCCTGCCCCATTGGAAGGCAATCCTCTCGGGTTCACTCCACCTCGAAGGTGAAACCCAATTGGCTCAAGGTAGCAAAGGCCACATCCCAGCATTCATCGCAGACTGCAAAAAGGGAAATCTCCCGACTTCGAGCTTCCCAAAACATGAGCTGGCTTTGGACCGGAGAACCCGCCTGAAAAGACACTTCAAAGGCTTGTTTCTCTTTTGCAGTAGGGGGCGGGTGCTACCGCTCCAGAGCCCAGCTCAAACAACTCTGCGGCGGGTGAGTGCAACTGCAAGGTGAAACATGCCGCCAAAGCGAATTTCAAAGCGTCCCAAAGCCGAGCAATCTTCCAAGGCGCCGAGGGTGCGAGCCCGCGGCCCGCCCGAGGTCACGCTTCAAAGACTTAGAGCCAGGCGCGCGGAGGCGCGGCTCCGGACACAAGGCAGGGAGCAGTCCTGGGCGCACCAACCTCAGGGCTCGCCAGATATGGCAGCCCGGCTCTGCGCAGGCGCCCGCCGCGCTCCACGTGAAGTGGCGCAAGGTCCCGCGGAGATGGGCCTTGGATCGCGGATAGTTGAGGCGCAGGCAGCAGGAGTTTTATTGCTCTTTGCCTGAAAGTGAGGGCTTCTTCAAACTGCCCAAAAGCAAAATTTGCCACCCCACACTACCTGCTCATGGCTGCCTCTGATGAATGGGCGGTCCCGAAGAACTGGCGAAAAGCCTTCTAATGACACGCATAGCCCCTGGGCCGCAGGCGACCGGGGCGAAAGCCTCCTGCGGACGGCACGCGAAGGCTGGCCCCCTGAAGCGGAATCCGGGGATCAGTCGCAGCACTAGTTGGCATCAGGGTTCCGCCTTTGAACCTTTGGAGGGTGGTTAATCTACCCTCTTGAGTTAGGCCCCCCGCCCCCACACCCCCCTCCGTAGTGGAAAAAAATATCCCTGGTTGGCATCCTGTCAGGAGATTGCGGCGAAGCTAGGAAACCTTGCGTCCAAATCGCAGCAGCTCCTCTGCAGCTGTCTGGCTCCTGCCAAGTGTGTATTGTGCTGGACGGCGTCACATAGTGAAGGTTGTTCGTCTGGCTGATTGCCGGCATGAATCATGGTTTGAGGCAGCGCCAAAGTTTCATGGGGAATTCCCTTCGAGGATGGCACCTGCTCTCCCCCAGCCTCAGGCATCGCCTCAAAAGTCCCCGAAGTCCCCAAAGCAAATTCCATCGGATCCGGTGCCCCGGTGGTTGGCAACTCAAAACGGGGTGGTGTTGGATTTGAGTAGCTCGTGGTTCTCTGGGGTGGTCTCTGTTGCTAGGTTCCTTCAAGGTGAAACAGGTACAACAATGGTGCAGGCGTCCGAGTGAACAACCCACCATCCTCATTGCAAGGTAGTGAGAGCACCCAATGTCACCACTGCTCACATGAGGCCTGTTTTCTTCTCATCTTCTATGAAAGATACCAACCCACACACAAGGGACAATAACCGCCTGGCAACAATCCATATTTTTGGATCGGGACTAAGGCAAGAAACCTATACTGTTTCGAACAAACCTATGGATATCGGCGTTCGGCTGGGCAAGGCTGGGAAGCAAGAGCCCATGGATCCAACAGGTCTTTGAGATGTGGGGTGGGTTTTGGAAGAAAAACCAAACGGAAACCACATACCAAACAGGAGGGAACTGTGCCATCTGCCTTGTTTTACACTGTACAATGGGAGACGAGAGCCCTCTCCATGCATCCCAGGTCAGTTCGCTAAACTTGCCATCCTTCAGATTGATACGAATTTGACTTTCGGCATGTGGTTTCCCATTTATATATATATATATATTTATGTATGGAACCCCCCGCCCCTGGAATACTCAGGTTTTTGTCCAAACATTGACATGTTTGCTGTAAAAAAACATGCACGTTTCAGCTTCTAAAAATGTTGCTCAAAAATGCACTCTTTTTTAGACCTAAATTTTAGCATCATTACTTAGTGCCATCCAGTGTGTGTGCTAGCATATCCTGGATTGAAGATTGAATATTGAAGATTATCTGACAAGACTCTTGGATTCTATACTTGGAAAATTCCAGCATGTGCTAGCACGCGCTAGCACATATCAGTTTGACCTAAGTATGGATTTGAAGATATCCAGAAGAGTGGTCTGACAATCTTCAATCTTCAATCCAGGATGCGCTAAGTTTCAAAATTCCTTGTCTTCTTTCGCTGTCTCTTCTTGCTGTTGTCATCTACACTTGCGCGTTCCTTCTTTCATATTTTCCTTTGAGTCTCGTTCTATTTTGCTCTCTTTCCTTCTTGCTATCTATCCATCTATCGCTCTCTCTCTCTCTCTCTCTCTCCCTCTTTCTCTTTCTATCTGTCTATCTGTCTACCTATCTATTTATGTATTTCTTTATCTATCTATCTCTTTATCTACCTTCCTACCTAGCTGCCTATCGATCGATCGGTCTATCTATCTATCTATCTACCTATCTAGTCTATTCCATTCTATGTACGCATCTATCTATTTATCCCATCTATCTATAAAGCTATCTGTCTTTCTTTTCTATGTATTTATCTTCTATCTAACACGCTTGTCTATCTTTTTGTCTATCTATCTATCTTTCTTTCTCAAAACCTCTCTACCTAACGCTCTATTAACTCTATCTGACCTACTTTCCCATCTTTCTATCTCTTTGTCTCTCCATGTACCCATCTGTCTATGTGTCCGTCTATCTCTGAACTGCGTACGCCTGCCTGACTCTCCCCAGGAAGGTGCCTAGCATGAATCACCAGTTGCATGGACATGTGAAACCACTCTTTCCGAGCAATGAATAATGCGCCACGTCACAGTGAAAGCAGCGCCGAAAGCGCGCCGTCGCGTGAAACTGACAGCCAGTCTTTAGTGGTCATGTGAAACAGCATCGCTTCTACACAGAATGAAGAAGCCATGCACGGCGCAAAGCAAAGGACAGCTGACACGAGATGTGCTTTTTGCAGAGGCTCCATGCAATGAAGGGCTCTGTGCACCTTGTTGGCCCGACGTCGCTCTTCCCGCTGCAGCGTACTTATGAGTCAACGGAAACTTTAACGAAAGGAAGCCAAGCACCGCCTTGCCCTGCCTTTCCTCCCCGGATTGATGAATGCACTTTATTAGTAAGTACGATAACACAAATTGAAAACCTGAGCCAGTGCTAAACCAGTACCAAACAAACCACTACAACACTACACCAATACCAAATTCAAACCTGTGCCAAACTACAAAACCTTCAACACAAACTAGCAAAATGAGACTGATTTCTGCTGTCAACATGCCTTGCTCGGAAGTTGATGATTTCATCAGTTGTTTGGGCCCCGAGAGGAATGGAACTCCCCTGCGCCCTATGAATACATATGGTCTGGATCCTACAGAATTTTGATTGGAGGACGCCGCAGGGCTCGAAGTGATTCTGTCTAGCAGGGCTTGCCGAGCTGCGCTTCGCATTTGCAGATGCGAAGCAATGGCTGGGGTGAGGACGCTGCCGGAGCTTGCCAAAGGCCTTGCCAGTTGAGGAAGCCACAAGTGAAGCAAGTGTTGGATCAGACCCAGCTTTGCCTAAGGCCGCGTCATCCGCGGCATCAGCCCTCCTCGAGGGTGTTCCTGCTGACGCCAACCCAAATCATGCAGTAACTATGTAGCACGCAACTCTGAATTTCAAATCAAAGGCGGAGCCGGCAAAGAGGTGTGCTTTCAAAGAAGGAGTCGCGTGTTTTCAAAGAAGGGAAGCCGGCAAAGAGGCGTGTTTTCAAAAGAGGCGGAGCCGGCAAAGAGACGTGTTTTCAAAGCGGGGGGGAGGCGGCAAAGAGGCGTGTTTTCAAAGAAGGGGAGCGCGTGCTTTCAAAGAAAGAGAGCCTGTGTTTTCAAAGACAGCATCGTGCACGAATCCTGGCAAAGCCAGACCAGAGGAGTGACACCCCGGAGGGGCCATGGAAACCCGTTTTTGCACATGGCTTTGCGCTTACCCCTTCGACCATTAGACACCTTGCGTGCTTGGGCAATAGCTGCCCTTCCGAATGCTGAAGCTACCCTTAATCTTGGCTCGCCGTAGGTGCCCAACTAGGCTCCCTATTTGAGTGCCTGCATGAGTGTGCTAAGACGCGCCAAGTAACTGCATTCGTGCGCGCGAATTCAGTAGCTCCTAAATTGAAAAGTTAATAACCAGGGAGCGAAGTTTGCTCCTTGTGTACCAGCCGGTGACGCATATGCCTGTGTTCCTACACCTTGGGAGCTAAGCATGCCGACTCTATGCATGTCTAAGTGACCAGTAGAGCCGGCGAAGCCGGTGGGCGGAAGTTTCAAAAATATAAACACTATAGATCTGCTGTTTTCCTTGTCTTCTTTCGTTGTCTTCTTGCTCTTTGTCATCATTCATTGTTCCTGCTTGTTCTGTGTGTCTTTGCTTCACTTTAGCGTTCCTTTTTGGTTTGCTTCCTTTGGGTCTCTTTTTATTGATTTCTTTCCAGCTCTGGCCCGAGCACCTCCCGGTGGTAGAGCCGGTGAACAGCGAAGCTTGGGAGGCGCCATGGACACAGGTCTGACCAGCCTTGCTCTCGGCAGCAGGGCCACTTTGGTGGCGCGGGCGATCGCCGCCAGCACAGAGTCGGGCACGGAGATGATGGGGCTTTGCCCTGAGCAGCGCTTCCTCGTGGACGCCCACATCGATCAGGACACGCTGGTCACTATCTACAACGCGGAGCTTTCGGCCGCTGGGCAATTGCCTCGGCTTCATTTGGACAATCATGCGGGATGGATCGCCCATTTGAAGCCCACCCATGGGGCTTTCTTCCAGCTCAAAGAGCTCTGCGCCGGTCTTGGTGGCTTCTCTCAGGGAGCCAACTTCGTGGGAATCAAAACGGTCGCCTGCCTCGACCACAGCCGGCTGGCATGCGATGCACTTCGGCTCCAGGGCCATGAGGTGGTGCATGCCCAGATGGAGGACATGGAGGCGCTCTTCAAGTTCCACCAAATCGGATTGGCTCAACCATGCCTGCTTTCGGCAGGCTTTCCATGCCAGCCATACAGTGCCCAGGGGGACCAGCAAGGAATGCGTGACAGCCGGGGGCAAACACTGATCTCCATCTTGAAGGCCTCCTGGTATTTGCAATCCGTGGGCCTCATCCTGGAATGCGTGCACAATGCCCGACACAATGTGGACGTGCAGAACCTCCTCGCGCAATATGCCAACTTACGAAGATGGCAAGTACACCACGTCACCCTTGACCTGCAAGACCAATGGGCCAGCAAGCGCAAGCGATGGTGGTGCATCATGATCCCAAAAGACTCACGAGTGCCCTTTTCTATGCACCCGTGGCCCAGCACCAATCCTTTTCCCAACGTGGGATCAGTCATTCAGGAGTGGCCTGTTTGGAGCAATGCTGATGAGTCCAACCTTCAGTGGACATCGGAGGAGGAGCAGAAGTACGGCGATCCTCAGTATGGCAGGGATCTGCGCCACCTCAACACAGCAGCACCTGCACCAACGGCATTGCACTCGTGGGGGGTGGCCTTACAGGCCTGTCCTTGTGGATGCCGATCCGGGCCGCTCTCCGACACCCGACTGCGGCAACACGGCCTCCGTGGATTTTCGGTCATCTCCAGCAGCACCGGCAAGAAGCGCTTCCTGCACCCGGGCGAAGCAGGTTTCCTGAACACCCTGATGCCTTCAACACCCCTCCCTGGACCGGCCAGGCATGCTCTGTGCCTAATCGGACAACTGGCAGCACCCTTGCAGGCGGTTTGGGTTTTCGGCCACATCGTCAACTGGGTTATCCATATCAACACTGGACGCCCAAAGCGCTCGCCACTTGGAATGATCCAGGAGTACCAACACAAGCTCCTGCAAGACCGGCTTCTATGCTGGACCACACCGTCCATGTTCATGCCGCGCACCCTCACCCTCACTGAGGACGGAGAACCCGATGCCCTGATCACGCTAGACAAGCCAACTACTCTGGCTCAGCTCAAGAAGGCTGAAACCTCGCTCCAAGGGTGGGGAGCAGCAATCCGTGTCT